CCTGATTCCCAAATCCTGTACAGGTGTGCTGGGTTATCCCTGATTCCCAAATCCTGTACAGGTGTGCTGGGTTATCCCTGATTCCCAAATCCTGTTACAGTTGTGCTGGGTTATCCCTGATTCTCAAAGCCTGTACTGTACAGGTGTGCTGTGTTATCCCTGATTCCCAAATCCTGTACAGGTGTGCTGGGTTATCCCTGATTCCCAAAGCCTGTGCTGTACAGATGTGCTGGGTTATCCCAATGCCCATTGCCCTGTTCTGGGTTATCCCTGATTCCCAAAGCCTGTACTGTACAGATGTGCTGGGTTATCCCAATGCCCATTGCCGTGTTCTGGGTTATCCCTGATTCCCAAAGCCTGTACTGTACAGGTGTGCTGGGTTATCCCAATGCCCATTGCCCTGTGCTGTGTTATCTCTGATTCCCAAAGCCTTGCTGCAGCAGCTGGTCAAGGCCAGAGAGCACCGAGTTCAGCCCAGAGTCTCTGTGGCTGGAATAACCTGCTCGGAGCTCCCTCTGCAGATCACTCAGAGAGCTTTGGATGCTGTAAATCATCCCTGAGCAGGGCTCTGGGGTCTGCTCCTGTAGTTCTGCCCTCCAGCTGGGCCTCCTCCCCAGTGGTGCTATCACTCCTGGAGAAGTTTTCCTCTCTCCTGCTGTAGTTATGTGACCTCCTGGGATAATCCTCTTGCAGCTGCTCTTCCTGGTGTCTTTTGCCTCCCTCAGACTGTGTCGTTGTTTCAGAACATTTGGAAAACTTTGCAGGACTCCAGATACATTAGCTGTGGTTTGAATGGTTTTAAACCTCAGCAGTGCCCAAAGTTGACCATATCCCACTGAATCCAAGGGTAAGCTGCTGTACCTTGTCTCCAGGATTTAACATTCCATGAGTATGAAATGGTCTCCTTTCCATGCTGGAAGTGTCACTTCTTCAGTAGATTTTCCACAGATGGTTCACRCCAGTGTTGGGGTGACAGGGCTCTCCAAGCTTAGTTTGAGATCTGCTTGGGATTTGAATTGTRTCAATATTGAATTACTTATTTTTTCTTTTTTTCTCCTTATAAATACCTTTTGCTCACCGAATTCTCTGTGTTCAGGGTGCTGTTGCTAATCCTGATGTCACCATAGTGCTTAAAGAGCCAGAGCAGGCTGGGCCCATTGCACAGGCCACTCTCAGCATCAGCACATTAGGGCAGAGACTGTCCTTGAGAAAGAAATGCAGCCAGGGTGAGGAGGGCACCAAGCACAAAGAAATGAATGTGCCAACACAGACTCTGCTGATCCTGAGAAGTGATGGCATTTGTCTGTGCCCTCATTGTTAGCTGAATGTGTCTCCTGAAGCCAGAGCGTGTCCTGAGCTCCATGGGGCTGGAGGAGCTGTCCYTGTCTTCTCCTAGAATTGGTGCCTGGGTTGGTTCGTGCAGCTCCTGTGCAGCCATCAGACCAGCTGGACAGGAAGCAATTACACAGTGCTTGGTTGAGCCTGAGCTGAATTCCACAGGAGGTGTTATCCCAGGGATCCTGGGGGGGCTGAACTCACCCCCTTGGGAGGGCACTGTGCTGCTGAATGCAGCCACTGAGTCACAGAGAGGGAGCCACTCGGGCTGTCAGCTTCCTTTGTTGGGAGACTGCAAAGGCAAATCGAGCTGCTGGATCCCTGAAGTCTGTCCCTTCCTGAGTCACTGCCTTTCTGGACTGTCCTTTCTCTGATGAGATCCACTGATGCTGGCTCCTCCTGCACTTCTGGGGCTGCCAGTTGTCCTGGGAATGTGGACGGCAGAATTCCTTGTTGCTTTGTTGTAAATATGTACTTGGCTGGTGGCAAAGATGGGACTTSAGAGCTTATCCTTCTGCAGCTCAGACACTCAGCGGCTGCTTTTTAATCCCTCTGTTTCTTGGTCTTCCCTTCTTTAAAATGACTATAATTTACTTTCTAAATTTAAAAAATTAGTCCTTACAGTGCTCTGAAAGGTTCAATCACAATCACTCTACTATTTTGTTCTTTGCCTTGGTGGTTTTTTTGTGTTTGCTCTCATCCTCACCTGCTGCACYAGGCATTTTTTGGCTCTTCCTGTCTACATTTGTAATTTTCCCCTCACCTTTGWGCTCCGTTCACCTTGGCCAAGTTTCATCTGGAACAGAATTGCCTTAGGCCTCCTGTGAAAGCTTATTCTCTGTCTCAAATGTTGTGGTGGTCTCCAGTTCCTACTCTTTTTTAGTGGCCAGACAACCCTTGTAAAAATGATCCAACCTGGATCCCTCCATGCAGCTCTGGGGTCTCAGCACAGGAAGGACATGGAGCTGCTGGAGTGAATCCAGAGGAGGCACCAAGATGATCAGAGGGAGGGAGGAAAGGCTGAAAAGATCAGGATTGAACAGCCTGGGGAAGAGAMGGTTCTGAGATGACCTAATAGTGGCTTTCCAAGGCCTGAAAGGAATGACAAGAAAGATGGAAAGAGACCATTTACAAGGGCCTGGAGTGGCAGGACAGGGGGAAATGGCTTTWTGCTGAAAAGGGGGAGATTTAGATTGGGTATTAGGAAGGAATTGTTCCCTGGGAGGGTGGGGAGGCCCTGGCACAGGGTGCCCAGAGAAGCTGTGGCTGCCCCTGGATCCCTGGCAGTGCTCAAGGCCAGGCTGGACGTTGGGGCTGGGAGCAGCCTGGGACAGTGGRAGGTGTGAGGGTGGAACAAGATGAGCTTTAAGATCCCTTCCCACCCAGCTCATTCCACGATCTATAAACCAGCAGGGGTGGGTAAGCAGTGCTCGTGGCACTGGAGATGAGGCTGCTTCACCTTCCCCTGACCAACGGGGGAAAAGCAGCTCCTGGGGAAGGTTTTCACCTCTGTTCCCTTGCAGGAGGGAGAAGGACACGACCCGAAGTTTGGTGAACGACAAGCGTTTGGTGACGGAGCAGAGGGAGCGCTACAGCCAGTACAGCGTGGTGCTGGAGGAGCTGCCCCTGCAGCCCGGGAATGCCCAGGGCTATGAGGACTACGAGGATGAGTACGATGACACCTATGATGGGAACCAAGTGGGTGCAAACGACGCTGACTCGGATGATGAGCTCATCTCCAGGAGGTGAATGCTGTGGGGAGGGGGAGGGAGCTTYRGGGGAATCACCACRGAATGCTCTGGCTCCCACAAWCCTGGGAAATCCTYCTCYGTGAGAGCTTCAAACSAGMCCTTTYTCTGTTATCACTGTGGTGTGCAGGGAGGGAGCTTCRGGGGAATCAYCAYRGAATGCTYTGGCTCCCACAAACCTGGGAAATCCTYCTCWGTGAGAGCTTCAAACCAGCCCTTTCTCTGTTTTCATTGTGAGGTCCAGGGAGGAAGCTTTGGGTCTCCCTTCTGTGGGTAGGGAGCTTTCACTCAGTCATTGCCTCAATTCAGCAGCAAATCCAACAGGAAAGTTTTCCAGTGTTTTCAAACTTGCAGTGCTATTTCTTAGAGAAATTACCCCACAGGAGGGAAAAATGGCTTGGAAAATCAGTGGAGCTGGGTGACCTGAAATGGCTGGTTAGCAAAGGAAAACTTGGAAATTTGGGAAATTTTACAGCCTGACTTTTCCCTGCCAAGCCCCTCTGAGTGCTGACAGCTGGAATTGAATCCCTGATGGATTGTGCAGCACTCTGCACCATGATTGACAGCTGCTCATTCTGGGAAGCAAAGGGTTAATGGGGATGGAGGCTGGACAATATTTATTTTAGAAAACACGTGCTTTAAAAGCTGCTTTAACGTTTCTGAAAGTGGCCTTTTGAATTCTGGTGCATTATGAGGATGTCACCATTCCTAACCTCAAACYAAATTGAAGCTTTGAGGTCCTTTTGTCCCTTTTTACCCTCCTAAAGCATGGTGAAGCTTCAATTTAAATCCTTTTTGTGTTTTGCCTGTAAGAGTGTGGCACCCAGGTCTTTTCCCCCTCTTTCAGGTCTCACTGCCCCTAGAAACAGTGGATGTTACTGATTTGAAATAACAAAGGCGTTTTTTTTTTTTTTTAACGTTTATTTCTTTGGTAGTGGAATGATGGGTCTGAATTCCAATGGTATTTAAACACAGGCACATATTTATATTAAAGAAGAACTATAGGCACGTGGTAAATTCTGCCTCCACCCCCAGGCCCTTCGCCCTCCCTGTCCAGGGTGATTCATAAAGCCTGATGAATTTCTCCAGGGATTTCCCCCTGCAGGAAACCGGGGCACAGCAATGGAACTGGGGCTCCCTGACCAGTCCCACAGGGTTTGGAGCCTGGCACTGGCTGAGCATCGATGTTTCTGTCTTGTCCAACAGATGCTCTCTGTCTGCTGAGCCAGGGTTACTCCTTTATGCTTCCTTGTGGCTGGATGTGTCTGGATGCCCATTTCCCAAAGGAAACAGTTGTTTCTGTGCAGAAATTCCTTGTGAGGTTGCAGGGTTGTTGGGTTTTTGGTTTTTTTTTAACTCGTTATTTTCAGTGACAGCTTCATAGTGAACATTCCCCAGTGAAGAGCATGTGTTTTGGTAATTGCCCATAGGAATGTAGCATGAATTCCTGGGTCTCTATATTTTCCCTTCAGAAAATGGAAGTCCATGAAATTTTTAGATTCTCATTTTTTAAAGACRTAATTCAAACCAAAAAGAGAAATGTTTATGGCTGTGTCTTTTCTAACTATTTGTGTCTTAATTCCCAGGCCATTCACAATTCCTCAGGTCTTGAGACCTAAAGGACAGGAGGAAGGACRGGAGACAGAGGAAGAGGATGAAGAGGAGGAAGAGGAAGCTGAAAAGGAAAGAACAAAGGTGACATTTAGCTGGAGTTGCATTAAGATTTACCATAATTCTTCCCTGCTTCATCTGCAGGTGATCTGGAGCAGATTTGCTGTTTCAGAGAGGGAGCCTTTGAAAAGCAGCAGGGGCTGTTCAGTGGCTGCTGGGCTGTGACGTGTCCCCAAGGACAGCTCTTSACTGCTGCTGGGGCAGGGACACATCATCCGTGGGGAGCTTTGATCCCCTTTATCCCGGAGCCAGCCAGTCCAGCAGAGCACTCTGAGGGTCCCTGACACTCCATTTCTGTGGATAGAAATGTGGTGTGGGAAGGTTTGAAGGCAGGATGGGTTGGGAATAGTTGTGGTGTGGGAAGGTTTGCAGGCAGGTTTTGTGCCAGGTGATGTGTTCAGAGTACCTGCTACCATTCCAGAGGCAATGAACCAGGAATTGACTCCGTTCCCGACAGAGTCCCCTCCTCTCCAGCCCTCAGCACCCAGCTGATGAGTTTCCTGACCTCTTCCCTCCCTTCCTTGCAGGACCACTTCGTGCAGGACCCGGCTGTCCTGCGGGAGAGGGCTGAAGCCAGGCGCCAGGCATTCCTTGCCAGGAAGGGGTAAGCAGGGATCTCCCTCTGGCTCTGCAGAATTGGAATTCTGCTCTCTGACATTTCTGTGTGTCAGGATCCTACCACAGTGGGCTCAACTTGCACACCCACCTTTTACTCTCTGCTGGTTGTTTTGTCCCATTGAATAGGGTAGGCATGTCATGGAATCAAGGAGTGGTTTGGGTGGGAAGGGACCTCAAGGCCATCCCATCCCACCCCTGCCATGTGCAGGGACACCTCCCACTGTCCCAGGCTGCTCCCAGCCCCAATGTCCAGCCTGGCCTTGGACACTGCCAGGGATCCAGGGGCAGCCACAGCTTCTCTGGGCACCCTGTGCCAGGGCCTTCCCACCCTCCCAGGGAACAATTCCTTCCCAATACCCAATCTGAATYTCCCTTTTTTCAGCATAAAGCCATTCCCCCGTATCCTGTTGATCCAAGCAGCAGAGCCCTGTGCAAGATGGGATCTTGGAGAGCATCACTTCCAGAGCTCCAGCAGCTCCCACAGGGATTTTGGGACAGTTTCGTAGCTGTTTTCAGCTGATGGGCTCAGTGTGTCAGAGAACACAGTCATGGTGTGGCTGATGCTGCTCCTGGGATGCTGTGAGAGCCTGAGGGTTGAATGCCTCCCACCCYGGTGTTTGCTGGGATCTGGGATTCTGTCCCCAGCTGTGCAGTGTGCCTSTTGTGATGTCCTTTCTCTGTGTCCCCCAGGCACAAGCACGACAGCTCTGCYGTTGTTGGGAACGCCAAGGGCCACGGGCAGAACCGGGAGACGGTGCAGGAGCGGAGGAAGAAGGAAGCAAACAAAAGCACAAGAGCCAACCACAACCGCCGGGCCATGGCCGACAGGAAGCGCAGCAAGGGCATGATCCCTTCCTGAGGGATCCCCTGCCCAAGAGGAAGCTCTTGGAATTTCCTTGGAATTTCCCTGGCATTCCCTTTGCTCAGGGGACTGATGTTGTGTGCAATACCCAGCACCTCGGCTCACATGGACCCACATTCCCTGTGGGAGCACTGCCCATTCCCAGGAAGGAGCTGTGCTCTGACTGTGTGTGCCAGTGGCTGCACCCAATACATGGCACAGGCTGCCCCAGCCATTCCTGCCCTTTTGTACTATTTATAATCTGCAGAGTTTTATTTTCCTACTGGCTCCTTGCACCCTCTCTGCCCACCCTGGAGTGGGCAGCTCTGAGGGCACGGCCTCCATGGAAATGCCTTATCCTGAACTGGAGTCACAAATTGTCCCAAGCTGGAAGGGACCCACAGGGATCATGAGTCCAACCCCTGGCTCTGCCCAGACCCCCAAACAATYCCACCCTGTGCATCCCTGGCAGCCTKGGGGCTGRGCCTGYTCCCTGGGGAGCCTGGGCAGTGCCCAGCACCCTCTGGGGACAGAAGAACCTTTCCCTGCTCTCCRCCTAATCCTCCCATGCACAGCTCTGTGCTGGTAGGGAGAGGCTCAGGCTGTTCCCACTGCTGACAGACCCACAGGGGTTCAGGTGAGTAAGACCTTAYGGATTTCTGTCCCTTAAGTGAGGCCTCTGAAAACAGATGGTACAAATAAAAGATATAGATGTTTAAGTTGTTATTTTTAGGCTCTTGTAGACAGTATTGATGAACTTCCTGGTGTCCAATTAGGCTTTGTTTGGTTAATTAACTGGTTAATGTGCCCTGRGTGCCATCTCCCCACCAAGCTGTGTTTTCTAGTACTGCAGCAGTGCCTGTGACTGTCACCCCCGCAGTGAGAAAATCGGCAGTGGGCTGTGCTCCAGGGCAATGCCAGTGCTGCAGGAGCAGTGGGGTGGTGGTAAGGTGGTAGTAAGGTCCACAGACTCATACCCTGGTGCCTGGTGTTGTGCAGAGGGCAGCGATGTGCTTGGAGCTGCTGTGGGGCCGTTTGCAGAGARGCAGAAACGCAGCACAGCAGCCACTGCCATGAAATGTGAGCAAGTCCTGAGTGGCCCGAGGAGGAGATTTTTCTCTGCCTATCAGTGCTGCCCAAACCTCCCAATGACAGGCACAGAAAARGGAATTACATTTACCAGCATCTCCAAATGCTGTATCCAGGGAAATCCCCTGCTGGGATAATGCTGCTCTCCTGCAGCTCTCCCTCTCTGCACCGATGGCTTCAGCCCCTCCCTGCTGCCCACTGCAGGGCTGTCCCCTCATCCTGYATTCAGCCTGCAGCTCTCTCTGAGCTGCTCAGCCAGAGCTGATGTGGAACGGCAGCACAGCACAGGAGCTGGCACTCTGTGGGATGGGATTGTCCCAGGAAAGCTTAAACCTTCCTCTTAACCATGTCCATAAAGCACAGCTGGGACTGGAGTTGGGTTTGGCTCCAAAAACACAAGCCCAGSGTTTAAGTGCTCGTTGTGTTCTCAGAGTAAATATTTTACCCCCCTGGCACTCGTTTGCAAACCCAACAAAGCTGCTGCGAGCACAGCTCTAATGGGCTCTACCTCAGCCTTGCTGAAATTCCTCTGGATTAGTGAGAAGAGTGAGGAGGAACAGATGAGGCTGCTGGGCTGGGAAAGTGGGARGAGAAGGAGTTACTCAGCCAGATCTCCCTCCAGCCACCTGAGAGCTGAGGAATTAACTGAGTCAGGATACCAGGCAGTGCCCAAATAGCCCTTCCCGTGTAGAAAGGTGTTTGGCAGGGSTGGGCTCTTCAGGGAGAAGGGAATGGTTCTGCCGAGGACAAGAGAAGGTTCAGGGGGGGAGGAACTGGATGATCTTTTAAGGTTCCTTCCCATCCAAACCATTCCATGACTGCTGGGGGAACCGGTGTTCCCAGCAGCTTCCCTTGGACCAGGTATGAAGGTTGTGCCCCACAAACTTGGCATCACTTCTGCTCCTCGAGCCCTGTGAGGAGCCAAAAGGCACAGGAATAATTAGGAAAGGGATCCACATCTCCTCTCAGCAGGTTTTGGATGAGATAAAAGTTCAACAGGATCCCGTTCTCAGCCCAGCAGTGCTGGGCACACCCCAGSCTGCTCACAGGGCAGAGCAGATTCCTCCCTGGTAGAGCAGGGCTGCAATAGCACCTGCAGCTCTGAAAGGGACCAGGCCAGGCAGCTCCATCGAATCTGAGCTACAGACGATGCTGTGAACGATTTTAAGCCCCTTTTTTGTGGACAGAGCAGAGGAAGCAGACAGCTCCTCACCCTTCCCAGGCAAAAGCCAAAGGCTGTCACTAAACCACAGCTAAATGCTTTCAAACATTTCTAGGCCATTGTGATTCCTGACAGTGCCTTGGAACTAAGGAACAGGGCTGGTTTTGAGGATCCTCCACGTCCTAGAGAAAGAGGAGTCACACAGAGGCCAAAGGATGAGTGAGGTGAAYGCACAGACACCAGACAGGACCAGGAGTTTTATTTGAACACAGTGAGTCAAGTACAGCAGCAGAACTCRTTGAGTCCATCTGGCTTCACATCGTATCAGGAGGTGGCTGATGTGATCTGGCTCGGAGCTGTTCCATCAGGAATCCATTCTGAGGCTCAGGAGGCCGAATCCATCCCTGCAGTGCCTGCAGCCACCCCAGGCTGGCTCCTGCTGCTGAGCTGCTCAGTTCTCATACTTGTGCTTGATGTGTTTCCACAGTTTCTGTGTGCAAAACAGACAGGGAAAAAAAACCAGGAACTTTTAGGCACCTTCACAGTGGTGCTGGGATAACAAAATCCAAGATGCAAGTTATCCTGGCGGGGAAGGGGGTGAGGGAGTCCTCTACTGGATGCAGGGGACAGGGGGAGGCACATGGGGTCTCCTGGCTTTTAGTCYGGACAGGGAGGAAGCTGCAGACATTCCCCATCCCCTGTTCTCCTCCTCTGGATTAGAGGATCCCAATGACACTGCACACATACTGGAGAATTCCCACACATACTGGAGAGGGCAGCTCTGCTCCTGCACCTAAGGGATGCACAGAACAATTCTATTCACAGAATTATGGGATGGTTTGTGTTGGAAGGGACCTTACAGCTCATCCAGTGCCACCCCTGCCATGGGCAGGGACACTTCCCACTGTCCCAGGCTGCTCCCAGCCCCAATGTCCAGCCTGGCCTTGGACACTGCCAGGGATCCAGGGGCAGCCACAGCTTCTCTGGGCACCCTGTGCCAGGGCCTSCCCACCCTCCCAGGGAACAATTCCTTCCCAATATCCCATCCATCCCTGCCCTCTGGCACTGGGAAGCCATTCCCTGTGTCCTGTCCTTCCATCCCCAATCCCTCTCCAGCTCTCCTGGGGTCCCTTTAGGCGCAGCAAGAGGCTCTGAGCTCTCCCCCGCGCCTAACGCAATATCCTGCAGTCATTATCCCATCGCTGCTGTACTTAGGAACCTAAGGACGACTTGACCCCTTTCACCCAAGGTTAACTGGGGACAGCCGAGGCCACCAGCCCTTATCCCCTCCCTCTTTCAAGCGCAGATCGGCCAAGACCGGGCACTACAGAGCATAAAACAAGCTCCTTTTACCCCTCCCGCTCCCCACCGCCTTGCACGCCCCTTCCTAACACCTCGAGAAGCTCAAGGACACCCCAAAGCCCCGACCACCGAGTGCCGCGACAGCCGTGGAGCCCCCGCAGGCGGGGCCGAGCCGCGCTGACCCTCAGCGAGCCCCGGGGCCGAGCCGCGGGCTCGGGGCTGCTGGAGCGCGGCCCGGGAGGGGCCCAGCGGGGCCGGCCTGACCTTCAGCGCTGGGCCCGCGTCCGGGCGGCCCCAGCGGGGCCTTACACAGCCCTTACCCCCTCGTTGAGGTGCTCGAAGAGCGCGTCCGCGCCCTGGTCGAAGGCGCGCTCGAAGATCACGGCGCCCAGCACGACCGACAGCGCGAACGTGGAGGTGCGGCGGAACAGCGACCCATAGACCTGCCGCAGCAGCGCCATCTTAGCCCCGCGCACCGCGCCTGCGCCGCACCGCGGGGGCTGCTGGGGGATGTAGGCGGTGCCCTGTAATCCGAACGCGGTGCCAGGTGCCCGTGTGGCATGCTGGGAGTTGTAGGCCGCGCTGCGTGCCATGTGTGTCCTGCGCATGCGTCCCTGCCGTGGGGTATTGTGGGAGTTGTAGGCGGTGCGGCGCGGGCCTGGCCGGAGGTGGGTGAGCGCGGCTGGGGGCGGGTTTGGGCCGCGGGTTTCTGTAAAGGCCCCGTGCGAGGGTCCCGTGAGGAGTCCCTCTGAGTACCGCTCGGCCAAGGGGCGAAGCTTCGTCCCGTCCCTCCCCTCTTCCCCTCAGTGACCTCGGCTGGGCAGCCCCGGGGTCTCTGCCCGGCTTCGTGCGGGGCTGGGGCCGTGGGGCGGCGGGACTGAGGGGGCAGAGACACCCCGGCCACCCCTACCCTGCCCTATCCGGGCGTCCGGCCAAGGGTGACAGGGACTGGAAAGGGATTGAGGTCACTGCCCTCAGCTCAGCCCCCGGAGGGTCGGTGAGAGAGGATTTTCTGTAGTTTGGGGTTGCAGAGGGTGGTTTGTGTCAGTGTCGGGGGAGTGGGAGAGGGGCTCGTAATTCATGGAGTCATGGAATGKTTTTTTTAGAAGAGACTTTAAAGATCACCCAGTTCCACCATCTATCCATCTTCCACTGTCCCAGGGTGCTCCAAGCCCCMRTGTCCAGCCKGGCCTTGGACACTGCCAGGGATCCAGGGGCAGCCACAGCTTCTCTGGGCACCCTGTGCCTGTGCCAGAGGAGCTCTGACAGCTGCTGCAGAGGCCTCGGGAAGAGTGGAACATGGCCCCATGTGGCAGAATAGAAGAGGGAATGTTCCCATTTGCTGCACTCTCTTCGTGTTTCTCTCTGTTTAACCTCAGTGAGGGCAGAGCAGCCCCGGGTGCCTCCAGCACGGATGGGAGAGAAAGGTAAATTTGGATTTAGATAGGCAGGACAGACAAGAAGGAGGCAGGGGAATCCTAACACTGAAGCTGTTCCCCCGCAGGGCCGTTGTTAAACGAGTTATCTGCATGGAATTCCAGAGCAGACCCTCAAGTGACGCTGCTCTGTTGTTTTGTTTGTCTCACCCACTCAGAAGTAGCACAAGGTCTGGCTGGCTGCAGAGTGATTTCCCCTGATTTATTTATATTTGTTCCCTCATGCAGTGACTGTGGAGATTCGTGGGATTTTCTGGGTTAGGGCAAGGCTTGTGCTGAACTTGCCTGGCACATTTGTGTGTGAAATGTTATCCCTCTGGAGTCCCAGAGGATCCCTAGTGGGAAGGACCCACAGRGATCATCCAGTCCAACCCCTGTCCTTGCCCAGACCCCCCAAAAGTCCCCCCTGTGCATCCCTGGAGCTCTRGCAGCCRTTTCCTGGGTCCTKTTCCTKCTCACCAGAGAGCAGAGRTCAGAAAAGCTCARTTGTTGTTTGTCATRTRTAACTGCTCAGGATTATCTAAGACAGATCTCCCCAGCAGCCCTAAATTGCTGTCACCAGGATGGTTTGTGTATGGTCAGGTTGGTGTTAATCCCAAATCRAGCTCTGTTTCCAGTGGCGGGGGTGTGGGACAAGATCAGCTTTAAGGTYCTTTCTAACCCAAACCATTCTGTGATCCTGTGATAGAACAAGGGGGAATGGCTTCCCAGTGCCAGAGGGCAGGGTTAGATTGGGTGTTGAGAAGAAATCCTTCCCTGGGATGGTGGGGAGGCCCTGGCCTTGGTGCCCAGAGAAGCTGTGGCTGCCCCTGGATCCCTGGCAGTGCCCAAGGCCAGGCTGGACATTGGGGTTTGGAGCAGCCTGGGACAGTGAGAGGTGTCCCTGCCATGGGAGGGGCAGGATTGGATGAGCTGAGGCCTCCACCCAGCCCAGTCCATGATTTCCTCTGGGTGTAATGGAAAGCAGGATCTGTGCCTCTGTCATTGGCAAGCATTCTGCTGCCATTCTGAGTCTCCCTGCAGATCTGAGCCCATTTAAATTGGCAGCTGAGTATCATGAGCCTGACACTTGGATTTCATTAATTCACACTGCCTGGATATCCAAAGTGGCTGGGATGGCCCCGAGCCTGGGCTGTGAGAATGCAGGAAATTGAGGTCRAGGCCCAGCAGCACCTCCCGGGGTTCGATGTGGAGAGCAGCACCTCTCCTCTGACAAAGAGGAGTCTGTGCCCCTGCCGGGGTCACCTTCCTCCCTCAGCCCGGTGAAACACCCCCCAAGTCTCAGATAAAATCTGCAGCTGATCCAGAGCAGCRTGGAGTGTTCTGGCAGCAGCTGGAGAAGGGAAGATGTGGGATGGTGCACAGGAGATGTCAGCTGGAGCTGTCCCAAGCACCTTGGAGGTGCCTCACAAYGGGATATTGCTCACCCAACTAGGCTGCAGGAGTATTATTGTTATACTTTCACACAATACAAAGTCCCGGGTTGTTGTTTTGCTATTTTTTTCTTGTATTTGCATTTATTCAGAAAGACTTTTAAGCTGGCACAGAGCCTGGCTGGAAGTGTTTATGGCTGCGGTGGGTCCAGGTCTGAGTGCCCTGATTCGGTTGCATATCAGGGGCTGGAGATGCTGAGAGGAAACAGCCAGGCTGAGGCAGTTCTTTATGGAAYGGCTACAATTATTTCATAATGACTAAGATGGATTTAATTAGGAACCATCTCTGTTTTCAGCTGAATAATGCTCTTTGTTTACTGCTGGAGCCGTTTGGGGAGATGGAAATAGGTTGGTGCTGCTCAGAAGCAGCTTTTTATTCCTCCGGACTCGCAGAGCGCTGGGGAGTGCTGGTGCTGCAGAGAGTTGGCAGAGCCCAGCAAGGTATCCAGGCAGTGGAATCCTTGAAAAGATGGGAATAAGTGTTGGGTCTAATCCCTGAAGGGGGAAATCTCAGGGAGGATCTGATACTCCTCTAATTGCTTTTTACATTCTGTCTGTCCCCTGCAAAGGGAACTGCTTGGAGCATTTGGGAGCAGGCAGCCGTGGGGTGTGGGATCTGCCTGTCTGGAATCTGTAGGARCTTTCTGCCCTGGTTGTTGAGGGAGGAGGGGGAAGGAGCTTCTGCAATTATTGCTGTCGGGGTGATGAAAGAGAAAGTTTGAAATACGATTTCAAAGGCTGGCTGCTGCTGGGCTTCCGCAGGCACAATTCCCTGGGAGATCTCTGGAAACTTGTGTGGGACCACTGCAGAATCTCATTTGTTTTCCCTGTTTGCAGCATTCTCTTCTGCAGAGATGGARTGCAGGAGCCAGCAGCTGAGACAGGGAGCTTTTTGTGTCACCAGGAACTTTGGGAGACTGTGAAATAAATGTGGAACGGGGATTTTTCAGTGTTTAAAGGCAGACCCTGGGCCAGACATGTTCCCCGTGAATTCCAGCAGCCCCACCACAGTGCTGCAGAGCTCAGGGATGCAAAGAGGGAATTTGTGGCTCCATGCCCATTAAGCAGCACTTGGGTTTGGATTCTTGGGCTGGAGTGGGACAATTTGAGACCTCAAGCCCTACAGAGCTGAGCTGGGATCAGCCCAGAGCTCGGGGGGATTGGGGTCCCAGTGCACGGCCGGGGTGTGGGCAGCCCTCACCCACCAAGGAAAGAGCCTCAGCACAACATTTCCAGTTCACTTGGAATATCTGAATATTTTACCTTCAATGTGGAGCTTTTCAATCCAATTTAAAAAATCTCAGGTGGTCTTCCCATCCAAGGCAGCTTTGCTTTAACTTGTGGTGTGAAGCCTCGGAGATTTCCAGTGGTGTGAATTTGAAGCCGCAGTTTTTGGGAGCAGGGAGGGAAGGGAATGCAGGTGCTCCTGCTGGGATGGATGTCTGGCAGGAGGCTTGGCAGCCCTGAGCTGGGCATGCTGGGCTCGGAGGGATTGCCTKGTGCTCTGCTCTTCCTGCTGGAGGAACTGGCTAGGGGAGGCTGTGATTGATTCTGGAGCTGTTTATTTACAAAATCTTCATTTCTCATGCTGGTCTCTGTGCTATTTTTTAAATGCACTCGGCTGTCAAAGTGTCAAAACCTGGAGAATTGCTTATGGAGTTTATCTCCCAGTCCATCCATCTTTGCCATTCTTCAGGTACCTTGATACCCCTCAGGAGAGAGCTTGCAGCTCCTTCAGGGTGTCTCCTCCAGCAGGGAATCCGATGGGGACGGGTGCCTGAAGGAGAAAACACAAGCTGATCTCACATTCAGACCCAGMACACCAAATTCTGTTGTGATCTTAACGCTGTACTGGGAGCAGACACACCTCAGTGCCATGGGCTGGGGAGGATGAGGAGAGCAATCCATGACTGTACAGGGAAAAACAGGTGGCTTGGTGGATTGCAGGAAATATGTCCTGTAGGGTTTGTAATGCASCTTCCCACCTGCAGGACAGGTGAGATCAGCTTTTAGTTTATCTTTGAGGATAAAATAAATGGCTTTGCWGAGTTTCTTCCTTACCTTGTAGAGATGGACACGGAGGGATTTCCTTCTTCTTGTGTGTCAGCTCGTGAGGTTGTGGTCAAAYGTTCACAGGACCTGCAGCTCCTCCTGTTTGCACCTGGGAGGGTTTGTGCTGCACTTTTCCTGGAGCTTTTGGCACTCTGGGGTCTCTGTTGTGGTCTGAATTTGAGGAAGGAGAATCCTTCTGGCARAGCTGTTGCTGCTTCGAGTGACAGAGATGAATGCAGATCCATGCCTTTTCTGCCATGCAGAGGCAGCAGATCCTGCCCCAGCAGTGTGTGATGGACAAGGATATAAACTGTTGGGTCTCACCTCTTTCTGTCTGCCAACCCAAAGTGATTTGAGTTCTCCTCTGTTGGAAGCAGGCACTGTAAATCCTGCATCCTCCGTTCCCATGGCTGGGCGCCGAGGAGCTGCCTGCTGATTCCAGCCCGTGCTGATGCTGCTCTGCCAGGACCTAAGATGGGAAAAAGGTACTTCTGTGACTACTGTGACAGGTCCTTCCAGGACAACCTGCACAACAGGAAGAAACACCTCAATGGAGTGCAGCATCTCCGGGCRAAGAG